GGATGACCGTTGATCGTGATAGCCAGGCTTAGCTAAGTGCATCCCCGTTTGGGAGCTGTCCCTTATCAAAAGAAAACATCTTAAATCAGCCTGCATGAATACTTTCTCTGTGGCTGCACCACAGGGATGGAGAGTGAGATGGGGCCTCATTTAGGAAAGCACAGCAACGCTTAATTCTGTCTTATTAACAAGCATTCCTGCTACACATGTATTTATTTAAAGCAATACAGTAAGGTTTCCTATTACATCTCCTGCTGCATGGAGTTCTGAAGTTCTGTTTCAGAGGTTATTGTTATTCTGTTCCTGTTCCTGTTGGTAGATCCGTCTATAGCTATTGTAGTGGTTAATGTAGAGAGATATCAAATAGTTGATCCATCCATCATCATCCATCATCTAAAAACGTCTTCCAATACGGGGTCATGAGGAAGTTGGACTCTATCCCAGCAATGGGCGTAAGGCGAGATATCCTGGAAGAGATTGAAGTAAGATGTGAAGAATTTTAAGTACTTTCTGCATGAAGATTAGACTTCTATGGCTGGAGTTTATGGCAGGAAGGGGGTTAACTGATAAGGATTCCAGATGCAAGCTAGGAGAACTAGGGAACCCCCTAGAAACTAATCGCTGACCATTTGGCCAAAAAGCTGTAAACTGGTCAAACACTTGACCTCCCCCCTTTACCATAATAATGAATGACGAATCAGAGCATCAAGGAAGGACTATATAAACTTAACTATATGGCAGGAAACCAGACTGGGAGCACAAATCCACACAAACAGCACCCCAAGTCTGGAATTGGACCTAGGGTCCCAGCATTGCAAGTCACCAATGTTAACCAGTACACCTCCATGCTGCCCAGTTCAGTGTGCTTGAATTACCCCTCAGGGTGTAAGCAAGCTATGTCTATCAGTGTTTAAACTGGATAACTTTTTTTCATAGGGTGACAGATTGGGTGGAGCCAGAGGAATAAAAACAGTGACAGCTGTTTCCTCCTAAGTCATTCTTTAGCACTTGTTGAAGGTGAAGGTTGAGGTGAGTTTTGTCTGTGTGTGTGTCCTGTATTCATTATGTATTTACTTCAAAAGTTGGTTCATGAGGAGAGTTTATGCCTTACAAATCTGATTTTTTTTTCTGTAGTTTCTAATGTTTACACACAGATTGTAAAAGATTGTATGTATATTTTAACACACAAGCTCATATGTTTACCACATATACAATGTGTACACATGAGCTTGTGTGTCCTGATGTACATTCAATGTTATATTGTTCTAATACATAAGGTAAACTAATGTTACACACTAATCAGCTAGGGTTTTTATTATCTTTTCTTTGTGTTATCTGAATATATTGCTAAAACACAAACACCTTGCTAGGTGAGCAAAGTTTCTCTTTCTGTTTTTGTGTTTGTGATTTTACAGTGCCTGGTTAAAAACTTGTGTCTGACATACTGCAGGTTCAGTTCATAGAACTGGCTTTCTGTCATGAAAGACCAGCCTGCTTCTCCACTTGTGACATTTTAGGTTGAGATTTGTTTTTTTTTTAATTATCCAAGGCACTCTGGCAAAGAAAGTGGTTGCAGATACACTAGAATTTGAGTCCAAAACATTAACGTAGTACATTTTCTTTTTAACGTTGAAGTTTCCTTTTAATGTTGAACTTATTTTCAGTTCTAGCTTGTAAGAATAATCTGTAATGCTGTCCATATCTGAAGTTTAGAGACTAGACTGTAACAAGAGACATGTATATTTTAAAATTTTAAATATTTCCTGTGTTTATGTCAGCACTACTCAAAAGATGAGTCACTTCTTATGTAGTTTGAGTCACCAAAACTAAAGGCTGTAAATCACAATACACACAATACTAAATAGCCTTTAGAGCACAGCCAGTGAATCTACCACATGAAACTGGGTATTACAATACAAATAATTAAATGAAAAAACAGTGGGCACTAAATATATATAATATATATAAAAAATTAATATATAAATAAAAAAAACTAAACAATAACTAATGGTTACATAGTTTCAAAATAACAAATCCACAAATAGATCAACAAAGTATTTTTTTTTAATTTTAAAAATAATAAAAACAGAAAAACAAATGATTGTAGATCACAAGTGATGTTTTGGTATGTTGCTGAGCATCAGAAAACCTGTTGCTGTTATCCTTCTTGGCTATTTTGAAGAATTTTAGTTTTTTTAATTGACACGTTCATTGCCAAAATCCAAGAATGAAATATGTTGTCGTTTTATTTAATTTAATGTTTTTAAAAACATAGTATGTAAATGAAGCAATTTGGGCCTCCAATAAATGAGCGATGGATGACATTTTGTGGTAAAAAGTTTAGTTTTTCCTGTTTGCAACTTCACATGAGAACCAAAGAGAGAAACTGCTTTTTACTTATGTTGGTGATATTAATACTTCTGTTGGTTTTTGCTTCTTTTTTTGTTTCTTTATTCAGAAAATGGAGAAAGAGAACGAAAAGACCAAAACTGTACCACCAGACTGGGAGTTAAATCCCTTTGATTTACAGGACAAGCTATCCATGTTTAACATGGACATGTTTAAAGTTGTGCCTGACATGGAAAAAGAATTTGCAGAAATACGAGCCCAGAGGCCCAAGGGCAGTAATCATGAGATGAGGAATGAAATCAAGAGACTGGAAACATTTGACACCTTTAAAACCTACTCATCTTGGTCCCCTGATGAAATGGCTAACAGTGGGTTCTACTTCACGGGTATTAAAAACAGCATTCAGTGCTTTTGCTGTGGGCTGGTAATGTGCACAAACAGTCTCGAAAAAACGCCACACGTCAAACACCAGGAGCTGAAGCCAGAGTGTGACTTTTTGAAAGGAAAGGAAGTGGGCAACATTTCTAAATATGAATTGAAAGTCCAGAGGAATTCCATTATGCCTCCTGAAAGACGAGAATTTTACAAGGCTGAGGAGACACGCCTGGAATCCTTCCATGACTGGCCAACCTATGCCAAAGCTGACGTTGCTGCACTAGCGAGTGCTGGGTTCTTCTTCACAGGTACAACACCTACTTATTACACAGTCCATAAGAGTCATCCAAGTGTCTTCAATAAATAAGCAGTTGAGTGTGTCTACCTTGCAAAGCTCAAAAGCATCATTATGAAGAAACAGATAATGTCCATTTCATAGTTTTAAGGGTTGGCTGAATTTGGTTGGTTTAGGGAGCATGAGGCATGCCTGCCTATGTTATTTTCACTGGGCAGAACAAACTCCTGTTTCTCACGCTACCTAAAACCGGTGGAACCAGTCGAACATGTTGTGCAAGCCCAACATGCAGTCACAACCTAAAAGTGACCTCTTACCAGACAAAAGTGGAGGGCTGAGGCTGCTAAGCATTCCCCGACCTTGTGGAACACATACTATACAGTACCTAGCCTCTTCAGTATGTTTGCTGCTTGCAGAGGCCAGGCACAGTATAAGGTGGAGTAAAAACTAAATGTAAAATTTGCAGGCATAGAAAAGAGATTATAGGAAAAAAAGGATCCATCTACGGTATGCAAATGTTTTTGTTGGCTGGGTACAAGAATGCTTCTTAACATCCAATACCGGCTTTGTCTCTGACCTCTACAGATGATACATTGATGACTGCATCAGTGCCGCCACATGCTCTAACGACCAACTAGAGCATTTCCTGCAACATTTTCACTAACTTCCACCCATCCCTTAAGTATACAGTTAAAATATCTTCCATTGACATTCCATTTCTGGACATACAGTAAACGTCTCCATTAACCATCCACAACTCCCTACTTCTGTCTATTACAAACCCAATGATTAATACAGTAAATATTAAAAACTTCCTCGCTTTTTCACAGTTCCTCAGGCTCCAGCACTATGCAGTGATGACATGGACTTCCATAAACCCTCATTCATTCTTTTTTCATTGACAGAGGATACCCAACATGAATTGTTGACAGGAACCTCATCTGAACTAAAAATAGCCCTCGGATCATCAACCCAAATATGAACTCCCAACGGATTCACAACTACATTTCATTGGTGCTTCCCTACCACCACAACAGCTTTTCTATTCCCAGGACCATTAATGACAACTTACCCATCTTATAAGATGATCCCTCTACTGCAACCTTCATGTGCACACAGAGAGGTTTCAGGACTCCTATTGCAGAAAGACATCTAAAACAAAAACCCTCTTTCCTGACTGCCCCATCATCTTGTTTTACTGACTATCTAATCTACACAACCTTCGTGTTCACAGCTCTTAGCTGCCGATAACAATCATCCACACCAGGCACTTTCCTCTGCAACACAACTCGTTTTCTCACCTGCAGTATATGCAATATCACACACATTCAAGGCAATATCATATCAATATCACACATTAATATCATCATCAATGTCAT